CCACTTCTCTTGTCCTGTATGCTGGGTGTAATTCTCACTATAAGATCTTATTCTGTATGTATGGACTCTGCCCAGGACCACTTCTCTTGTCCTGTATGCTGGGTGTAATTCTCACTATAAGATCTTATTCTGTATGTATGGACTCTGCCCAGGACCACTTCTCTTGTCCTGTATGCTGGGTGTAATTCTCACTATAAGATCTTATTCTGTATGTATGGACTCTGCCCAGGACCACTTCTCTTGTCCTGTATGCTGGGTGTAATTCTCACTATAAGATCTTATTCTGTATGTATGGACTCTGCCCAGGACCACTTCTCTTGTCCTGTATGCTGGGTGTAATTCTCACTATAAGATCTTATTCTGTATGTATGGACTCTGCCCAGGACCACTTCTCTTGTCCTGTATGCTGGGTGTAATTCTCACTATAAGATCTTATTCTGTATGTATGGACTCTGCCCAGGACCACTTCTCTTGTCCTGTATGCTGGGTGTAATTCTCACTATAAGATCTTATTCTGTATGTATGGACTCTGCCCAGGACCACTTCTCTTGTCCTGTATGCTGGGTGTAATTCTCACTATAAGATCTTATTCTGTATGTATGGACTCTGCCCAGGACCACTTCTCTTGTCCTGTATGCTGGGTGTAATTCTCACTATAAGATCTTATTCTGTATGTATGGACTCTGCCCAGGACCACTTCTCTTGTCCTGTATGCTGGGTGTAATTCTCACTATAAGATCTTATTCTGTATGTATGGACTCTGCCCAGGACCACTTCTCTTGTCCTGTATGCTGGGTGTAATTCTCACTATAAGATCTTATTCTGTATGTATGGACTCTGCCCAGGACCACTTCTCTTGTCCTGTATGCTGGGTGTAATTCTCACTATAAGATCTTATTCTGTATGTATGGACTCTGCCCAGGACCACTTCTCTTGTCCTGTATGCTGGGTGTAATTCTCACTATAAGATCTTATTCTGTATGTATGGACTCTGCCCAGGACCACTTCTCTTGTCCTGTATGCTGGGTGTAATTCTCACTATAAGATCTTATTCTGTATGTATGGACTCTGCCCAGGACCACTTCTCTTGTCCTGTATGCTGGGTGTAATTCTCACTATAAGATCTTATTCTGTATGTATGGACTCTGCCCAGGACCACTTCTCTTGTCCTGTATGCTGGGTGTAATTCTCACTATAAGATCTTATTCTGTATGTATGGACTCTGCCCAGGACCACTTCTCTTGTCCTGTATGCTGGGTGTAATTCTCACTATAAGATCTTATTCTGTATGTATGGACTCTGCCCAGGACCACTTCTCTTGTCCTGTATGCTGGGTGTAATTCTCACTATAAGATCTTATTCTGTATGTATGGACTCTGCCCAGGACCACTTCTCTTGTCCTGTATGCTGGGTGTAATTCTCACTATAAGATCTTATTCTGTATGTATGGACTCTGCCCAGGACCACTTCTCTTGTCCTGTATGCTGGGTGTAATTCTCAGTATAGGATCTTATTCTGTATGTATAGAGTAGAGCTCCCACAGTAACGAGTCACGATCCGTTTACTGCTACTAAGGTTTACGTAAACTGAATTCTGATACATGCATTTGGCCATATGTAAAATACAGAAATTATGTTTCTGTGCAGAACATCTCCGTTTAAATACAGTGCAGGAAACGTCATCCTGGCCATACACACTGATAGTACATAATGTGGCTGAATTCTCTGATCATACATTCGGCCACAAGATTTGCTTCTACCCCAAACACGGGGCGAGTATTGCCAAACTAGGCCTGAAATGCCATAATCAGCCCCTGCATGGGATCTGTACAAGTCCCAATTTATTTTATGAGTGTCTGTAATTTCATCCTTATTGCGAAGGGTAAAAACCTGGGCAAACTGCGATATCATTAACAACGCTGCAGAAGTAAATGTCCTCTCATTAGGCGCAATTGAAAAGCGAGTGGTTGATCATCAGAGGATTAACTGGCTCTGCGTATATACAAATCACTGGCACCCTCTACGGCTGCTAATCCATTCTGAATTTCTCAAGCAACCCCTGCAGCTTAACAAAGAGTCTTTCAATGATGTCTGCTAATTGCAGCACATCCTAGATGTATGTACTGATGCAGAGAACTGCTGATGGGAATAAGGAGAGCCACTGACAGCCAGCAGAGCAGAGAACTTAAAGGCAAACTCCGGCCTTTTCACATTTAAGAATATGATGAACTTAAAGTAAATGTGAACCCAGGTAATAAAATCTCATATATGCTCCATCATATAAAAAATAATTCTCAATATTTTTAAGTCTGCATCTGTCATTACAATTACCTTAACCTTACATTACCTCCTCATGTATCACTGGCCCCTCCCTTTTAGATTGTAAGCCCTCAGGGGCAGGGCCCTCCTTACCATCTTGTCTTGAATTGTATTGTGATTGTAATGTCTTCCTTATATTGTAAAGCGCTGCGCAAACTGTTGGTGCTATATAAATCCTGTATAATAATAATAATTAGGGATGCACCAATACCGGTATTTTGGTACCGAGTACCGATATTTTTTTTCCGGCACTCGCCAATACCAATTACCGAGTGCCTGAAGTCCCATTCAGGAAGCCAGGTGACGTGTAATGACTTGCCACCTTGCTTCCTGATTAGACGGGAAGCCGGGCAGCGTGTAAAGACTCGCCACCCGGCTTCCTGATTAACAAGGAAGCCATCCAATGCTTCTTGTCACTATGTGACGAGGGAGCATGGAGCCGACTTCCCAGCCAATCAGGAAGCCGGGCAGCGTGTAATGATGTGCTGCCTGACTTCCTGATACAGGAAGTATCAGGCTAGGCATCGGAGCATTTGGGCGAGTACGAGTACTATCGGTATCGGTGCATCCCTAATAATAATACAATAATACATTGTGATCCTTCCACGAAGGTCTTTATTTAGACACTTCCCATTATAGGGTGACAACACTTTGTCTCTACCTCATGCGTTTTCACCCTGTCCAATAGCATCTGATGAAGAAGTGGACATTTCACCACCACATTGTGCAGGTATGGTCTATTGTTGTCACCATCAGGAAACAAAGCCTGAGAAATGACATGCAGCCATCGCTGGAGTGCATGTAGACAGGAAGTGGCTGCAGGAGATTGGCAGCACTGAGAAGCACAAGCAAGGATGAAAAAAGGTGAAAACAAGTATTTCACTAAAAACATGGCACATGTTTAAGAAGCACAGTGATCTAGCAAACTAGATCTCATTCAGTTAGGATTTAATTCTATGTTTGTGTAAATCATCTCATCAATAAACGTGAATGTTTAAAAACGACCCTGTTTGTGCATATAGTGTATTATTATTTATGTCCTTGCTGGCAGCCATATCTGCTCATTACATATACAGGCTCTGCTCCGCTCCGCTCCGCTCTGCTCCGCTTCCTGCTCTGTTTTACTGCACACTCAGTTTAAGTTTATAAGTCAGTTCTACGGCAATTAAAATCATGTGCTAACTGAGAGTTTTATCGATCCTGATAAGGGACTCATCATTAAAATGCTCATTTTAATTGGGTCAGAACAGGGACATGTCAAATTGCATTATTATTTGCAGTAATAAAAAAAACAAAACCTTTTTATTGGCATTTGTTTATATAGTCCTATCCTGGCTTAAAGAGGCCATGTCACTAGATTAGGCAAGCTCTGGTAAATGAATATCTGTGAAGGTTCTCATTCATCCAGGTCATGGTATATCTGGCCTTGACTTATTTTTTTACAGATATCTGGTAAATATATACCGCCCACAGGTACCTCCCCCAGTTCCTAGATCTGTCATCACTATGTTAAAGGAGAACTATGGGGTCAGGGCTTTTGCCAATAGTTCTCCTAAGGGTCACGGGAGGACACAAAGTAGCATCCTCCCGTGACCCAAAGCTCAGTATACCGCGAGCTACAGCTTGCGATATACTGAGACCGCCGCAGCCGGGACGTATCCCGACATTACTGTCTGGATCCACCCAGCTGCATGATTGACAGCTGGCTCTGCCTATCTAGAGGCAGAGCCAGCTGTACCCACCCCGTCCGTTCCGCCAGTGAGCGCTGGAGGATCGGACAGGGGAGGGGGAGAATACCGTCGCTCGCTCACTTCTCGATCTATCCCTGCAGAGAGCCGTGACTGTCACTCACGGCTCCGTGCAGGGATTCCCCCCCTCCGGTATTCCTCCCCTTCCCTGTCCGATCCTCCAGCGCTGACTGGCGGAACGGACAGGGGAGGGGGCGGGCACAGCTGGCTCTGCCTCTGGATAGGCAGAGCCAGCTGGGTGGATCTCGACAGCAATGCCGTGATCCTTTCCGGCTGCAGCGTCTCAGTATACCGTGAGCTGTAGCTGAGAGCGCTAGTTTGTGTTCTCCCATGACCCTTAGGAGAACTATGGGGAAAAGCCCTAACCCCATAGTTCTCCTTTAAGATAGCCTTGGTTCTTGATGAAACGGACAAAATTTGTTCAGTGGGTGGCCCTGTCGCCACCCTTCCATCCGGCATCCATCTTTTAGAAAATTAAAGAAGCCGGAAGGAACATTTTTGGGCAGTGACGGTGGCCAGTAAGCAGAACTATTGGATCAGCATGACAGCCAGTGAACTAATATTTTCAAAGGGAGAGATCAGCATTGGGAGCTTTTATTCACCACAGGTTTGCTTTAAAGGCTTAATATATCAAAGCACATTTAGTGCAGCCAAGGTTTGACATTGCCCATTCATGCACAGGTAAAATAAAAAAACGTGTGTGTGCGTGTGTATGTATGTATGTATATATGTATGTATATATATATAAATATATATACATACATATATATATATATTAGGGCTGGTACTGATTAAAAATTTTTTTAATCAATTAATTTCGATTAATGATAACGCACATACAGATCCAACTACATTGAGTACATATAAATGATTTGTGCTTTTTTTTTTCTTTCAGTCGTGTTTGGAAATAATGCATAAGTTCCAGCAGCTCTACCTGGCCTTTATCTTTGTACGATCGAGCTTCTTCCACCAGCGCCGAGACATCATTTGACAACATATTCTCTGGAGAAAGGTGAGTGGCATTCATACGCTTACATAGCATCTTTGCCTGCGGGGGAGAAGAGGAGAAGAGTCCAACTTTTTGCAAAAGAAAATAGGTTTCAAAGAGCTTTTTCTTTCCATGCCAAGCGAACCTCTACCTCTTCCAGCTCGTGCTTTAAATAAATGATCTAGGAACAAATGTATGTTTAAACACAGCGCTATCCCTCTGTTGTGTACGAAGGGAGGACACAGGAGGGTTGGAGGTGCTGGAATTCTTAACCCTGGATGGGTGAACACACTGATAATTGTATGAAAACACCAAAAAAATCAGATGCATGGGTTTCATATATTATTTAAAGGGGGCCCATTTCCCATTGAGGTAGTCATTTTATTAGAAGGACAATGTCCATGAAAGTTCAGCTTTTTCAACGATTACCTTTGCCTCCTATTATTTTGGAACTGTTTCCACATTTACACATTTGTTTTGATTCCAGTTTGTATGCCTTCTTTCTTCTGTTTCTATGTGTTTTGCTTCTGACTTATATGTGCTTTTGTTTCCCGTTTCTACGTGTTTTGCTTCCATTCTGCACGTTGGACCATTGATAACAATCAGTATGCATCTTAGAAAACCAGCGGGGAAAAAAAGCTCCATTGGAACTGCAACTCACAGAATCCCATAGATGGAGAATGTACCATTCAATATGGTGGTAGTGGTTTTTCCTTGCTTGGTTGCTTATGAAACCACAGCAAAAAAAGACTCCTCAAGAAAGGCAATTAGATAATCATTTGTAAAGCTGACATGGCCAGTATTCCTGATTGGTGAGGCTGGGTTATTTTCGGATGTTTGCTAATCTTTAATGAAGGTCTGCATTCATCCTAACAGAATGATAATTTTCCAACAACCAATTAACACTTGGTTGTTGGATTGCGCCTGGATGCCAAGCTGCCATCTATCACTTATGGATGGCTCAAGATCCTATGCTGTGTCTAGGAGAATATTCTATAGAATAGTAAGAACCAGTGATTTCAGATTAGGTTCTGGTTTGCACTGAATAATAATTATCATCATATTTGCATTTTGTAATTCCTATAATGGAAAGACTGTCTACTGGTCTATGGAGTGTTATTAAAAGTGTCTGAATATGACTACTGACAAATGATGGTTGTGAGCAGGGTTATCCTGTGCTGGCCAATGGCTTTTTTGTTGCCAGCGTTCTCTTGTAATTTCTCTTGTAGGCAGCAGTATAACCCAACAGTCTAAGAATTTGTGTGTCATTACAAAATGTTGTGCAAGTACTGTAATGAGATGTAATTATGCTATTATCCTATTAAAGCTATATCTATATTTTTATCATGCACTCCTTTTTGGAACTCATTGCGTTGTTATGATGCAGGGTGAGGGTTCTTTCAGTGCTGATAGTAAGAAAAAAAAGCCTGATATTTTCAGAAAGTAAAATGTAAGATAACAGACAGTACACATAAGAAGGGGTAGGCTTAGGTTAGGGTTTGGATCAGGGGTTAAGGTTATGGTTGGGTTTTAGGGGATAAATGTTGGGCTCGGTTTTAGGGTTAAGTTTTCGTTTTTATCCTGACGTTCCAAGGTTCTAAATTGTTTTTTTTTTCTTCAAAAAATCTTTATTAAATTTCCACAATTTTAACAATAGCAAAAAGATATATCATTACTTCAGAAGAAGAGGTAAGCAGTGCAGCATGCATCACAACCAAGACATCCCATAACTAAATGTTGATATACTTACTATAGTGTGCTTTCCTGATGCAGGTGGGCCCAAAACAATAAGGCGCGGCACTGTAAAACATAAAATGCAATCAATATAAATATGTATAGCATCAACATAGGCTGAAAGAACTTTATTTGCCAAAATGGGGTAAGCATCTAATTGTGTACATTAGGTTTGCACAGATACCAAGTACAGTACTCGGTACAAGTACATGTACCAATACTTTTGAGCTCCAAGACTGCACTAGATAAATAATCAAAAATTAGGAGGCAGCTCTCATTTGTAAGGAGCACACGGAGCTCCCGGGATTTGTACATCTCTGTTTTAATGTACGATTTTTTTTTAATAAATATAAATAAAGGGATGCACCGCTACCAGTTTTGCGAGTACGAGTACTGGTACTTGCCGAGTACTTACAAGTACGAGTACTGATAAATTTTTGTTTATTGTCATGTGACAGTTTTTCTAAAACAATACAGACTAATGATTTCAGGACAGTGGTGGAGCGCCAGAGCCCGGTCCCAGCTGCAACCGCTGCAACCCTAGTAGTTCTCATGAAAATGCCAAGTATCTGCACTGGTACTCGAAAAGTATCTGTGCATCCCTAGTGTACATCATAATTCATTAAGATATTAATGCCTTCACCAAATCCTACAGTTTAACACTATCCACCGACTTAAAAAGAAAGGCTTCTAAATACACTATATTGCAAAAGTATTGGGTCACCCCTCCAAATCATTGGATTCAGGTGTTCCAATCACCTCCATGGCCACAGGTGTATAACATCACGCACCTCGGCATGCAGACGCTTCTACAAACATTACCCTGATAGGTTGCCACCTGTGCAATAAGTCCATCCGTGAGATTTCCTTGCTACTAAATATTCCACGGTCACCTGTTAGTGGGATTATAACAAAGTGGAAGCAACTGGGAACAACAGCAACTCAGCCACGAAGTGGTAGGCCACGTAAAATGACAGAGCGGGATAAGCGCACAGTGCACAGAAGTCGCCAACTGTCTGCAGAGTCAATAGCTACAGACCTCCAAACTTCGTGCAGCCTTCAGATTGGCACAACAACATTGCGTAGAGAGCTTCATGGAATGGGTTTCCATGGCCGGGCAGCTGCATCCAAGCCTCACATCACCAAGTGCAATGCAAAGCGTCGAATTAAGTGGTGTAAAGCATGCCGCCACAGGAAGCTGACAGCGCACAGCGCCAATTACGGCGACTGAGACATTTCCCGATCTCTGCAGCTGCGGACCAGGAAAATGTCTCAGTACCTGTGATTGGCGCTGCGCGCTGTCAGCTTCCTGGCGGGCTCGGCACGTGGAGCTGCGAACACGCCCGAGCCCATCACTACTCAGCAGCATACAAGGTAACACAGGGTGAAGCTTTGTCGTTCTGAAGTAATAGTTAGACAGGTACGGCTTACCATAACTCTACCAAAATACGCTAAAAACTTCATAACCGCAAAAACGCAAGAGCATTACATAAGACATCTGTAAAGCTTCGAAGAGCAACTGTTGAAAATTCTGAAAACTGTCACCTGTCTTTTTCTAACAACACAAAATGTGGAATATTCTAAAGATGAATAACCACTGCAAAGTTTTTCCAGCTCCCAAAATACTTTTGCTAGATCCTGACATAAAGGGATTTTCGCCTTCATAAAAACTTGATCTCCTTACTTAGAAGTGCTTAGCATTGATTGGCCTACAGGCTTCACAGCGTTGGCGGCTACCCTTTATTAAACTCATGGTTTCTCGCCACCCGACGCAGCGCACCTTGAATTTCCAACTGTGCGTGTTGGAATAATTTATTAACATAGTCATTAAAGAGTGCTCTGTTGCCAAGATTAATCAACTTCTGCACAGCACATCAAAGGAAATCAAGAAACCTCTCCATCCACAGATCCTTTTGAGGTTTAACGAGGAAGGAGATTTAAAATTCAAAAGAGAATCCTCAAGGTATTGGATCTTTTATGCGCTGCATTTTTTTGGACAAACGTTTGATTAAAAAAAAAAGGAAACACTCTATTATATGCTTCGTATCATGCTTTAATATTGCCCCCGGCTACTGTAAATGTTCAGTTTGTACCAAATCGGCTGCTTTTTTTTAACGGTGCTTATTGGATGGAGATGAAGGAGGCAGTGGACAAGTATGAACGATTTCAGTCATAACACAATTATAAACATACGCAGGCTTCATTTTAGAAATTACGGGAAAAATTATTCTTAAAACCATACATGGCCCAATTGTTACCATAGAAAGGTACTTCTCTAAACATTAAGGCCATGCATGGGCTGCTTTTACTTTTAAGGCTAACAAATGTCTGGTTCGATTATCAAAGCCTGGGGTGCCATATAATGATCACACCTAAGCTGCCCATACACTGTAATATTGTAAGGTACTTACTAGTGATGAGCTCAGGCGTGTTCGCAGCTCCACGTGCTGAGCCCGCCAGGAAGCTGACAGCATGCAGCGCCAATCACAGGTACTGAGACATGTTCCCGGTCGGCAGCTGCAGAGAATGGGAAATGTCTCAGTACCCGTGATTGGCGCTACGCGCTGTCAGCTTCCTGGCGGGCTTGGCACGTGGAGATGCGAACACGCCCGAGCTCATCACTAGTACTTACCAGTAGCCACCCCGAGTTCATGCGCGTGCCCTGCAGAATGCTCCTGTTCTCAGGCGTAAGGGCAAATATGCTCTTAATAATGGACACGTGCGTATTGGATTCCGTGCACGCAAACGTCAGCTCGCTATGCATGCTGTTACGCATGCACGTTCGGTAACGTCTGATCCACTATAAAGTCAGTGCGAGTCCCGAATTCATTACTGACTGGTCTCAGCTGTATCCTGTTTCCTGTCTCCTGACCCTGCTGCTTGCCATCCTGTGTTCTGACCCAGCTTCATCCCCCGACTCTGCTTCTGATTACCGACTTGGCACTTCTATCCGGCTACTGGCTTCCTATGTTCGATCCTGACCCCGACTCCTCTGTGTTTCTTGATTTGGCACCTTAAGCTTGCAAGTGTTTCGCTGTAAATGACCTTGACTACGTTCCTGATTCACCTGTGGCATCCACTGGGCTTTCCTGCTTGGACTCTGTGCTGTGTCTCTTCAAGTCAGCTCCAGCCCATTACTCCACGTTGCTGTCCAGCCTGTGGCCATTACCTTACTGAGGTCAACGCACTCAAATTCAGAATCCGCGTTTAACAAGGCAGCGGCACTCGTGCGTCCCCGAGTCCTCACTCCTTCTGTTATCATCTCCAGGGGAGTTGGACTAGTGGTGCAAGGGTAGCCCTCTGGTCAGCTCAGTCTCCACCCATGTACGTGACAAATATTTTATTTGTTCAACCTGTGAGCTGAACAAAGAAAAAATAACAGATTCCTCCTCAAGGCTTACGAGCATTGATCGGGGAATCTCCCACTGTCTTCATTGTATTCTGTTGGTGGCCGCCAGCCACTGTCAGAGTACCCAAACAGAGCCGACAGCTGGTTCCAGCTGGCTCCTTTGATAGGCTGATGGAGGAATGCCGGCCGAAAGGGTGCCGACAGCCCGCTGTGCTGACAGCCCACCCACTGTGCGAGTTTCGGCCGGTTCATCAAGAACCATAGAAATTTGCTTAGTGTATGCCCAGCTTTACTGTTCAATGTCCCCATTATGATACAGGTGTTGGACCTGCCCCAGACACTCCTATCTGCTAGATAAGACCATCAACGTCGACCAGAAATACTGAGCTTACACAATCTGCTCACTGACCACCTTAAAGGATAAGTGTACTATTCTAACCTCCACACCTCCATTATTAATTCTATCTACATGTAGCGGCTCTTCCTATAGTCTTCGAATCGCAACTTATATTCCTGAAGTGACAGTAGGAAATAATGGCTGCGTCAGGTGCATGTGTTAAGCAGGTCTGGCAATAAAAATGAAGTAAACCCTAACTTAATGGCATTTAGATTACTAAAGTATTGTGTATCATAAGCAATTGCCCTTTTTAAAAATAAAAAATAAAATGTGTTTTCATCTTTTTGATTGCTATTTACCATTACTTCTTCTACACTGTCTCTCTGTGGAGGTGGCAAACTTGGGAGAGGAAAAGGGCTTTGCTTTCTAATAAGGATGCACCGATACCGGTATTTCGGTATCGAGTACCGATTTTTCGGTACTTGCCGATACCGAATGCCGAGTACCAGGAGTCCCATTCAGGCATGTAATGACTCGCCACCCGGCTTCCCGATTAGCTGGGAAGCCAGGCAGCGTGTAAAGACTTGCCACCCGGCTTCCCGACTAGCAGGGAAGCCGTCCCCATGCTAGCATGGAGCCGGCTTTCTGGCCAATCAGGAAGCCGGGTGCTGTGTAATGACGCGGTGCCGGCTTCCTGATTGTCCGGGAAGCCGGCTTCATGCTCCCTTGCCACAAGGTGACGAGGGAGCATGAAGGCGGCTTCCCGACCAATCAGGAAGCCGGGTAGCGTGTAATGATGCAAGTGACGGGAGAGCATGGAGGAGGCTTCCCGGCCAATCAGGAAGCCGGGCAGCGTATAATGACGCGTATAAGGACAAAAGACAGATTTTTCAAGGTACTGCTTAGGCACAATTAATATTTCAAGATGTTCCCTATAACATAGCAAATCTGATGTGAATGTGCAACTATGTAAAATGCTGTGTAAATTGTTAGCGCTACATAAATACCTGTAATAGATAAATAAATCTTCACTTTTTGAGTTCAGGTCCACATTAACCCCCAAAAACCCAACATTAACCCCTGACCTTAACCTTTATCTAACCCAGACCTGGGCACGGATACAGACCAATTGCCAACGTGCGCTTGTTTATGGCTGTCTAACAGTGGATGTGCTGGCCTCCAAAGCCGATGCATCCACTGCAAGCCATAGCCCGCTGCAGGTCGGCGATTGGTCTGTGACAGGACTGTGTTTCTCTTCAGTCGTTGGTTGCTAGGACTGCTGGCGTCCTAGCAACTAATGACATCAGGGGTCATTCTCGTCTGCAGTCACTGGTTGCTAGGAGCACTGGGTGGCCCTAACAACCAGTGGCAAATGTCTTC